TGTTCGAAAAAGCATTGTTAGCTGCGAACACTGCTCCTGCCGAAGTTTTGGAAGTGCTTGCCACCTGTACCCGGAACCTAAAAGACTTGGACAATTCTCCAGCCGTACCAGAAGCTGGTACTGCGGACTCCCAAGCTGTAAAGGGAATCCTTGCTGGGGAGTTTGACTATGGGGACTCACTGGATTCAGATAGTGACCCTGGAGAGGTGTACTATGCTGACAATGAACCCATTCACGCCCGGAGGTCGTTTTTAAAGGGGGGGGTACTGTCACGGTTCTCACCTGATAGACAGACGGCAAGACGTGGTCGCTCTTGGAGTTCCCAACAGGGGACTTGAACCGGGGATCTTCTCAGTCCTGGTCCTGCTTTCTACCTCTGAGCCACAGCAGCTATTTACTGTGAAGACTGATTCCAATCCTATTCATCCTGACATGGCTACTACTCTGGGGGCTGCACCTTGACTTGGCTGTGTTTCACCTGACTCTGATCAATCATCAGCAGGGTATTTAAACCCAGCCTCGCCCTGTGCTCAGTGTCAAGTCCTTGATCCTGTTTGTTCCAGTGTTCCTGTTTCATCGCTTCGCATTATTGACCCCGGCTTCCTGACTCGTTTATTCTGACTTCTGGCATCCCTTGACTTCGGCTACTCCTCGTTGTTCCTGTCCTCTGGCATCCTTTGACCTCGGCTATCCCTCGACCATCCTGCTGGTTCAGTCCTTGCCTGTCCTGCGTATTGGTACTGCATCCTGCACAGCCCCCGTGCACAGACCCACAGGCCAGGTGAATTCTTACCTGACCACCTCGGCCTGTGGCTATCTGCAAGGGTGAGCATCATATCTGCGCTACAGACTCCCAACTCAGGTAAGACCCTGACTGTTTCATACGAATGGGCTCCATGGGATTCCTATCTGGGGTATAACATATTTGAACAAAAATACCGAACACCGGGCCGTTCGTGCACTTTCACCAAACAAGAAGGGAGGTCGGCGACTTCAGCGGTGTTCGCGCAAAACTGTGTCCGATTTTAGTTCCATGAAAATAGAGGCGAACACCGCTGTTCATTCGTATGGTTTAAAATGGCCGCGACCTCGTGTTCGGGATATGAATGGCGGCCACCCAGCATTCATCAATTAAGCTGCGGTTAACCGCAGCTTCAGGGAGGTTAATTGCCGGAACACTCCAGCTCCCAGGTGGTCCAGTCATTCGTACGGTTGTTCGGTAGATTGAAACTACCGAACAACCGGCAGAAAAGCACGAATACAGCTTTTCTGCAGGCAAAATAAAGTCTTTTAAAAGGGGGCCATAGTCCAAAGGCAGCAGGCGAGCAACCAGGCTTCTCCAATGCAATGTGGCGAGATTGGTCTCGTCACATCTCTTCCCTTTTCCAAACAGACTAACAGGGTATCTGACCTCCTGCCGGTCAGTGCCCTTGTTAGTCCAGCAGCCCACCCACAAAACATAATCAACAGCACAGCCCACCCACAATAAATGGTTACTACACCTGGGTAGAGAAGAAGCTTGTCCATTTCCAGGTGCCTCACCACGGCTGTGCTGGGTACGGGTACGCTGCCTTGGTGGGTTGCTGCGTGGGCAGAGACCAGCGGCACTCTGCCCTGTTGCCAGCGCTACCGGGAGGGTAGCCTGGTGGAAGCCTGGTTGTTGGAGGGGGAGACCGACTGTCTCCCCTTTAAATACACCGCTCTGCTGCTGCTGCTGGAGACTGACTGTCTCCCCTTTAAATACACCGCTCTGCTGCTGCTGCTGGAGACTGACTGTCTCCCCTTTAGATGCACAGTCCTGCTGCTGGAGACCGACCGTCTCCCCTTTGGTTACCCATCTCTGCTGCTGGAGGGGGAGACCGACTGTCTCCCCTTTGGCTAAACAGCCCTGTCGCTGGGGGCAGGACCGACCGTCCCTACCCCCTGTGCTGGCAGTGTAGAGACTACGGTCCCATCTGCACAGTTGTGGGGCTTACTGTCTCCCCCTGGTACATTAAGCTGCCGCTGGGGAGAGGGGATAACAGGCTCCTCTCCCATACATACTTCCAGCTGCGGGGGAGGGAGACCGACTGTCTCTGCTCCCGATACAGAGTCCTGCTGCTGGGGAAAGGAGACTGGGCTCTCTATTCCCGGTAGGACACTCTGCCGCTGGGGAATGGAGACGGGGCTCCCAATTCCCAATAATCTGTGCTGCCGCTGGGGAATGGAGACTGGGCTCCCAATTCCAAAAAAATCACGCTGCCGCTGGGGAGGGAGGACACTGCTCTCCTCTCCCTGCACTTCACACTGCCTTCCCGGCATATCACTTGGCTGCTGGGGGCAGGAACAACTACCTCTGCCCCCTGTAACTCAGCCTGCCGCTGGAGAGGGAGGACGCTGCTCTCCTCTCCCTGCACTTTACGCTGCCTTCCCGGCATATCACTCTGCTGCTGGGGGGCAGGAACAACTACCTCTGCCCCCTGTAACTCAGCCTGCCGCTGGGGAGGGAGGATACTGCTCTCCTCTCCCTGCACTTTACACTTCCGCTGGGGAATGGAGACTGGGCTCCCAATTCCCAATAAATCACGCAGCCGCTGGGGAATGGAGACTGGGCTCCCAATTCCCTGCAGGACCGGTGGAGAGACCTCGGTCCCATCTCTACCGGCCACCTGGGGTTCTTCCCAGTAAAACTGTACCATCTCGTCCCCTCTGAATGGGTCTGGCTCTGGGTCTGTCATGCTGCTCTCCCGCTGAGCCTTCTCACTGTATTGGAACATCTGCTGGTAGCCCTGTTCTAGCTCCATCTCCCGGGTCACCAGGTGGACCAGGTCTTGCTCAATTTTGTGAGTGTCGTCCCAGTCATACCTGCTCTCCCTCCACTCCAAGAGATCACTGAACCGGGCTTGTGTAGGGCTCCCAAATTCGAGCTCTGAAAACGACTCCCATAACAAGCCAGGACCATCAAACTCCTCTCCCTCTGGCTTGTCATGCTCGGCTGTCCAGGGCAGGTACTGTGCCCCATACCACCAGAGCACCTGGTAGGCATCTTCTAGCCACAACTCCTGCCATACTAGGTGTTCCAATTTCCTCACCCATTCCTCCAGGGGCTGCTCTCCCAGGAAGGGCATCCGCGGGGCTACTCGCTTCTGCAACCGCTGGTCTTCCTTGGGGAGTCTCTTGCCCCGCTGGTACTCCACAATACCCAGTGCCTGGTACCAGATGCCTTTACGGACTGCATCTCGGTCATCCATGGCACCCTCGTCATACTCCACTGCTGGTTCCATCTCGGTGCTGTCAGGGTCGCTGTACTGGGACATGTGTTGCCCTCAAATTGTAAAAATCCACGGAATGGTGTCTCCTGTAGCTGTCCTTCTGGTTGTAGGAACGATCCCACCGCTGCCACCAATTGTAATGGACCGTTTTGCACAAAAGGGAAAAAAAACGCTTAGACGATAATCCCCTTTCAGAGACAGGCACAGCTACTGTAGAATCACCAAAACTCACGAACTGAATACAAGTGAATGCTCCAAACTCCCGAACGGCATCCAAGTGAATGCTCCAAACACTCGAACTGCATACAAGGGAATGGTCCAAACACTCGAACTGCATACAAGGGAATGGTCCAAACACTCGAACTGCATACAAGGGAATGGTCCAAACACTCGAACTGCATACAAGGGAATGGTCCAAACACTCGAACTGCATACAAGTGAATGCTCCAAACTCCCGAACGGCATACAAGGGAATAAGGTAGCACTCCAAATACACGAACAGGAACCATACGAATTGCTGCTACCAGACGAATAGAAAAAGCATCCAAGCGGCTTACACTCCTAGCAATCAGTCTCTATCAGCAGTCAGTAAATCCCCCCAAAGACGAGACAAGGCTCCGTGTTGAGGGTCAAGCAGTGGTCTGTTTAATGAGGGCTACCTGCCCAGCTTTTATGCAGGTCTCCCACCTGGTGGACACTCCCCTAGGGGACCAAATGGGAGACTGTGACAAGGGACAGACAAGCAGACAAATAGGACACACAGTCACAGTATTTCCCACAATGCATCCTGGCTTCCTCCCCTCTGCCTTGGGAGATAATTGGGAAGTAATTAAATTATCTCCCAAGACAAAGGCAAAACTCCATTACACATGTGGGGACACAAAACCAGCATTATACTTTAAAATACACAAAGTAACATTTATTCCACAAAACACAGACATGTAACATATCCCCAGATAGCTCAGGTCTGAGTGCACATTATTAAGTGAATGGCACTCAGACCACAGGAATACAGTTTAATCGCCATGGAGCCAAGTCTTTACAGTCAGTTTCATACGAATGGGCTCCGTGGGATTCCTATCTGGGGTTTAACATATTTGAACAAAAATACTGAACACCGGGCCGTTTGTGCACTTTCACCGAACAAGAAGGGAGGTCGGCGGCTTCAGCGGTGTTCGCGCAAAACTGTGTCCGATTTTAGTTCCATGAAAATAGAGGCGAACACCACTGTTCATTCGTATGGTTTAAAATGGCCGCGACCTCGTGTTCGGGATACGAATGGCGGCCACCCAGCATTCATCAATTAATCTGCGGTTAACCGCAGCTTCAGGGAGGTTAATTGCCGGCACACTACAGCTCCCAGGTGGTCCAGTCATTCGTACGGTTGTTCGGTAGATTGAAACTACCGAACAACCGGCAGAAAAGCACGAATACAGCTTTTCTGCAGGCAAAAATAAAGTCTTTTAAAAGGGGGCCATAGTCCAAAGGCAGCAGGCGAGCAACCAGGCTTCTCCAATGCAATGTGGCGAGATTGGTCTCGTCACAGTGTTGGCAGCGAGAACTGTCCAAGTAAATTTTGAATATCCTGGGATGTGGGTTGATGTAATGTGGGGTCTTCTTTGAGGTTGTATAATGAGTGGTAATAGTCTGCCATAGTATCATTAATATCTTGTGGGTTGTGGATTTTAGAGCCTTGGGATGTGAGCAGATAGGCGATTTTTGCATTGGATTGTTTTTGACGTAGTAAAGTCGCTAAATTCCTGCCTGCTTTGTTTCCTTGTGGAGGGGCTGGGGTTTTGTACAGGGAGGCTGGAGTTTTGTACAGGTGGGTGGAGAGGCTGGGGTTTTGTCCAGGGAGGTTGGGGTTTTGTACATGGGGGCTACCGAGGTTTTGTAAAAAAGGGATGGAGGGAGCTGGGGTTTTGTACAGGGAGGCTGGAGTTTTGTACAGGGAGGCTGGAGGGCTAGGGTTTTGTACAGGAAGGTTGGGGTTTTGTACAGGGGGCCAGGAGTTTTGTAAGGGGATGGAGGGGCTGGGGTTTGTACAGGGAGGTGGGAGTTTTGTACAGGTGGGTGGTGGGGCTGGGGTTTTGTACAGGGAGCCTGGAGTTTTGTAAAGGGGGATGGAGGGGCTGGGGTTTTGTACAGGGAGGCCGGAGTTTTGTACAGAGAGGCTGGAGTTTTGTACAGGTGGGTGGAGGGGCTGGAGTTTTGTACAGGGAGGTTGGGGTTTTGTACAGGGAGGCTGGAGTTTTGTACAGGGAGGTTGGAGTTTTGTACAGGTGGGTGGAGGGGCTGGGGTTTTGTACAGGGAGGTTGGGGTTTTGTACATGGGGGCTGGGGTTTTGTAAAGGGGGATGGAGGGGCTGGGTTTTGTACAGGGAGGCTAGGAGTTTTAGCCTACAGGTGGGTGGAGGGAGCTGGGGTTTTGTACAGGGAGGCTGGAGTTTTGTACAGGTGGGTGGAGGGGCTGGGGTTTTGTACAGGGAGGTTGGGGTTTTGTACAGGGAGGCTGGAGTTTTGTAAAGGGGGATGGAGGGGCTGGGGTTTTGTACAGAGAGGCTGGAGTTTTGTACAGAGAGGCTGGAGTTTTGTACAGGTGGGTGGAGGGGCTGGGGGTTTGTACAGGGGGGTGGGGGTTTTGTACAGGGGGGCTGGGGGCTGGGGTTTTGTACAGGGAGGTTGGGGTTTTGTACAGGAGGTTGGGGTTTTGTACAGGAGGCTGGGTTTGTACAGGTGGGTGGAGGGCTGGGGTTTTGTACAGGGGGCTGGGGTTTTGTAAACAGGAGGCTGGGGGGTTTTGTACAGGGAGACTGGAATTTTGTACAGGTGGGTGGAGGGGTTTTGGAGAGGGGTGGAGGGGCTGGGGTTTTGTACGGGGAGGTTGGGGTTATTTAAATTATAGAAACATACAAGCATAGAATGTGACGGCAGATAAGAACCATTTGGCCCATCTAGTCTGCCCAATTTTCTAAATACTTTCATTAGTCCCTGGGTTTTGTACAGGGGGTAGAGGGGCTGGGATTTTGTACAGGGAGGTTGGGGTTTTGTACACGGGGTGGAGGGGCTGGGTGTTTGTATAGGGGGGCTGGGGTTTTGTAAAATGGGGTGGAGGGGATGGGGTTTTGTACAGGGGTGGTGGAGGGGCTGGAGTTTTGTACAGGGGTGGAGGGGCTGGGGTTTTGTACAGGGGGTGGAGGGGGCTGGGGTTTTGTAACAGGGAGGGGAGGGGCTTTTTGTACAGGAGGCTGGAGTTTTTACAGGGGTGGAGGGGCTGGGTTTTTTTGTACAGGGAGGCTGGTTTTGTACAGGAGGTGGAGTTTTCAGGCTACAGGTGGGTGGAGGGGCTGGGGTTTTGTACAGGGGGCTGGGGGTTTTGTACAGGAGGTTGGGGTTTTGTACAGGGGCTGGAGTTTTGTACAGGAGGTTTGGAGTTTTGTACAGGGGGTGGAGGGGCTGGAGTTTTGTACAGGGGTGGAGGGGCTGGGGTTTTGTACAGGGAGGTTGGGGTTTTGTACAGGGGGGCTGGAGTTTTGTACAGGGAGGTTGGGGTTTTGTACAGAGGGGTGGGGGGGTGGGGTTTTGTACAGGGGGATGGGGATTTGTAGAGGGGGTGCTGGGGTTTAGTAGGAAAGCTAGTAGCAGAGAAGAGATGCCAAGTGTCTGGAAGAGAACATAAATTTTATCTTTTTTTTTATATACTGTACTTTTCTGTGAAAATTTAAGGGTTTTTTGTGCGGCCCACATAAACATTTACAGTGTTTACATTGCCCCTAGGGACACTTCCTGGGGCAGCACTGCTGTTCAGCATCCCCACGCTCTGCATGGGGAAGCTAAATTTTCCTCGTAGAGATGCATTGATTCAATACATCTCTATGAGGAGGGGCTGATTGGAAAAAAGTCTTGGCCCGCCCCCTTGCCGAATTTCCCCCATGGGAAAGCATTGGATTGGCTAACAATCTGCAATTCTGATGTCACCATGGGAGCGGGGCCAATGCCGGCGGACCCACGCGGTGCTGGAAAAACGGTGAGTTTTAATTGCTTTTAAGGAAGCCGAGGGAGGGGCGAGCCACCTACATGGTGGGAATACATGTTTGTGTTCCTGACCCTATTGTGTTCCTTTAATTAAGCAGTTTTGGTATATAGATCATGCTTCTGAAGTATCACTGCTTAATTCTATGTCATTTAGCCATTAAATCAATTTGTTTATACAGTTATAGTCACACCTCCTTGGATGTGACTTGCACAGCCATCTTAAACACTTCCAGTCATCTAATGTTTACAATTCATTTATTGCAAATTCTATTTAATTTAGAATTTCTTATCTCCTGCTCTGTCAATAGTTTGCTAGACCCTGCAGAAGCCTTAAGTTTAATTTACAGAGCAGGAGATAAAAATACATCTGATTGAAAATTAAACCATTTTGTTTTCACGCAGGCTGTGTCAGTCACAGCCGGGGTAAGTGTGCCTGGGGCTGCATGGACAGAAACAAATGTGATTTAACTTCTAAATGGCAGAGTATTGAGCAGTGAGGCTGCAGGGGCATGATCTATCCTCGAAAACCGTTTCATTAAGCCAACATTCTTTTGGTAATCATTGTGTCTCTTTAAGGTTAAAATAGCTGTTGGGAATAATACACTTTGCCTATATTTACCCATGGCTTAACCCCTTAAGGACACATGACTTGTGACATGTCATGATTCCCTTTTATTCCAGAAGTTTGGTCCTTAAGGGGTTAAAATACAGATGACCGGCTGGCCAGTGTGTTTAAAATTGGTTAACATGTCAGCTATTTGCAATAATGTATTTTTTTTTTTTAATTCTTTATTTTTATCGTGCTTTGAGTAGATAACAAGCAAGCTCGTGGTGCCCCAATAGCAGGCCCGGACTGGCCATCGGGCACACCGGCAAATGCCCGGTGGGCCGCGGTGGCCATGGGGCCGAGGCCGGCAGGGGAGGTCCCAGGATCTCCCCTGCCGGTCTATGCAGGGCCGGCACTCTCCTAGCGCCGGCCCCGCCGTTTGCCACGACGGGCCGGTGGGGAGATCAAAGATCTCCCTCACCAGCCCAAATGTGGCCGCCGGCGGGGAGGGAGGGAGACAGACAGCCACCAGGAGAGGAGGACCCGGCGGAGCTCTAACTTGCAGCTCCGCCGGGTTCCTCTCGCGAGATCCGGCGCGTTGCCATGGCAACGCGCCGGAGCTCGCGAGAGTGAACTCTAGCCCCACAGGCTAGAGTTCACTCACCCACGAGGACCACCAGGTCCCCCCCTCCCAGGCTAAAGGTAAGAAAGGAGGGGGGGACATAATGCCTGTTTTTTGTTTATTTACCCCCCCCTCTCACACCCATCACTCTCACACCCATCACTCTAACACTCACAGCACTCTCTCACACAGCACTCTCACACCCATCACACATAGCACTCTCACACCCATCACACACAGCACTCTCTCAACCATCACACTGTCACACCAATCACTCTCACACGCACAGCACTCTCTCACACACAGCACTCTCACATCCATCACACACAGCACTTTCACACAGCACTCTCACACCCATCACTCACACACGGCACTCACACACACATCACACACGGCACTCTCACACACACCGCACCCCTCACACACACACACAACCCCCAACACACTGCACCACACACATACACAATACTTCCATATATATATTGTGATAAAGTGAAGGCAGATAGGCCTTTTAACCCCAGGGGAAGTACGTGTAGTTTGTGTGTTGCACAACACAAAGCATTGTTTAGTTATGGGCCCCTGGGGTGGAGCATTTGGAGAGAAGGGTGGGCCAATGCTCCACTCCACAGTTTAGTGGTTTTCTGGGGAGACTTAGATCCAGGCCAGGGTTTTTTGGACCGTCTCCAACCCACTGCTCAGCTGCAGTTAATGAGCTGTTGCAGTGGGAATAAACCCCTCCCTGCTAGGCAGGTAAAGGAGGGGAATTGCTGGCTTCCTCCCAGGAAGCAGGTAGGAGAGAGGCTGTTCTCTCCAGATAGAGAGTCAAGGAGACTAGGCACTGGGAGTGCAGAAAGGAAGCAGTCAAGGCTGGCTTGGAGCACTGGGAGTGCAGAAAGGAAAGCAGTCAGGGCAAGGCTGGCTTGGAGCACTGGGAGTGGAGAAAGAAAAGCAACAGGCTAGCTAGCAGAGTGTTGCTATCTAATAAGGTTGGTGCAATATGTTTTTGTTAGTTTAACCCTGATAGAGAGGGATATTCAAAGTGAATCAGTGCTCAGACGAGCTAGGTTTTTGTTTAAAGGGAAACCTGTTATATTTATGTTTTCATTTGCTGCTGCCTCATATTTAAACTTACAAATAAAGTGCCTGGAATGAAGTTGCATTAAAAGACTGTGCATGTTTTTGCCCTAGAGGACCGTGCTACCTGCTGACAAGGATCACAATATGGTGGAGAATGCGGGCAATGTAGCACAGTGAGGGTCTGTGGGTGTGCCAGGTCATCTGGTAGTCTGCTTGAGGACTTTTATTTTGGCAGACCTGCTAATCAAATAAGTAGCACTGCACCTTTAAGACTGTTACCCGCTTGGTGCTATAATGGAGGACCTGCTGAGAACTGTGGTACAGGCAACCGCTAAACAACAAGGCACAAACAGTTTCCTGGCTGCACAGGTTAAGAACCTGAGGGACGCTCAGCAGGAGCATAGAGCTGCCCTTACTGAGGTTTTGCAGATTGCCCCCTGCAGGGAGCGTGGGGACAAGGGACCCTGTAACCAAGCTACTGACATCCTGCATAAGGTGACAGAGGCAGTAGAAGAAGTCTTCAGCAAGCTGAAAAGCATGGAGGCATCAAAGCGTGCTGTTGAGAAACACGCAGGAGAGAAAGAACAGGAATTAAAAGGCAAGAAGGATGAAATTAAGCCTGAAAGAAGTGATAAAATGGAAGAGGGTGAAAAGCCAGCGGGATCCTCCAAGGAACAAAAAGAAGAAAAGTTAGTAAAGAGTCCAGCAAAGCTAAAGGAAAAAGCGGAATTGCCAAGAGGCAGTGATGGTGACACTGATGACGTGCCAGAGTAAGAAAGAGCAGAAGAGTCAGAAGGGAGATCGAGACAAACTGATTACTGAAGCTGACAAGTGTTTTATTGAAAATCAAAACATTGCAGCTTCACATGAAAGCCTCAAACGTGCTCGGAGTGGCATCACCACAGATGAAGAGGACTTGGAAAAAGAGTCAGAAACAAAGATATTTTCACGCTCAGAAGCTGAATCTTACATGTTTCAAGAGAATGCTGGAAAGACATTAGAAAACAGAAAGGTGCTGATAAATCTTCCCGAGGCAACAAAAGGAGAAAAAAAGACTGTGGCTGAGGCCAGCAGTGTCAAGCCGGTTTGTGTAATAAAAAGTGAACAAGTTAAAGGCATGAAAAGCAGACTGGCTTGGGGAGTCAGAGAAGACAACAGCGAAGGAGCTGAGCTCAATAGAGAGAAGCAAAGCACCCCAGTTGAGCTAAAAAATTTTGTGCACTGTTTAGTAGCAGAGGCTACCCAAGAATGTCGACCGGCCGTTGAACAGTTTGGCAGAGAAAAGCAAGGCAGAGAAGTAGTGGCAAAACTAAGTCAAAATAAGAAAGGCAAAGTAGCTGCTTCTGATCTAAGCCAAGAGAGAGCGACGGTCACAGAACCAAGCTGTGGTGATAAGATAGGCATGTCCGCACCTAAGCCCGACCAAGGCGAAAGTTACAAAGTAGGTGACATTGGCGTAGCAAAATTAAATATTTCAAAGACATCTGGGATTGCTACAAAGACTTTGAAGGATTGTTCGGGAGCCATAGAACTGGATCTGCTGGCAAAGACTACTGCTACAAGGCCTGCATGCCTTAACTACCTGGAACGGCTGCCAGATTCTGGGAACACAGTTGTGGAATTAAAGGCAGGACTCGGACTGCCTGACCGGCTGTTTGATACCGGGGCTGTCATGACCCAGCCAGAGGCCATGACTGCGTCTCTGGACACCCCCAAGGGAACAGGGAGACCGCCAGACAGCCCAGAGGAAAGCATTGCTGGCACTGAGAGGTGGCTACTCAAGGCCAAGCAAGCAGAGGATACCCCTGGGGAGGAAACCAGGCAAAGGAAAGATGAACTAAGCCAGGAGTCTAGGCCTCAGGTAGAAAAACAGCGCTCCATACCAGGCCAGGCCGAGCATGATGGGATGGAGCTGGGATCAAAGGCTGCATTCATGCAGGAGGAGGGTGCTCTAGACAGCCTCCCTGGCCAACCCCCTGAGTACATAGAGATGAGACCTGTAGCATTACCCGTAGAAAGCAAGGAAGGTTCCCAGGGATTCACAGAACAGATGGAGGATGTTGTGAAGCCCTTCACGGAGGGACCTGTTCCAGTGGAGGATGAGCTGGTGACAGAACCAGGTCTTGAAGAGGTTGAGCACCCAGCAAATTCGTCTTATGAAAGAACTGGACATATAAGTGATATAGAAAAGTTAGTTACACGCAAAGCTTTTGTAAAGTTTGCGTTTGAAAGTAACTCGGACATTGAGAGACTATCAAACCAGAAGCTGCTGTGGATGTGGAAGCAGATGATGATTCAGAGGAACTTGGCTACTAAGGAGCCACACAGTACTGATCCTCAGCCTAGATCCGCTAGCAACCAGATAAGCGGGGAAACTGGAAAGCAAGGACAAAGTCTGGGACAATATACCTATGATGGTAGAACGTACCTAAAAGTCCCATTTTGGCTACGAGACCAGACTGAGAAAAACTGCTTCAACTGCCACATGCAAGGACATATTACATATAGCTGTCCTGAGAGTGAAGAGACAATACAATGTGACATAGTAATAAGGGCTCTGTATAGGATTGTATTGACTTGCTTAAAGATGTGTATGGTGACTGGTGGTGGTGTTAAAGCACAGCTAAAAGTGGTAGGGAAGAGTGCACAAGCACTCATTAATTCAGGGAGTGAGGCTACTTTGAAAAATGTTCTGCTCCTGCCAGAAAAATGTGATATAAGACAAGTGATTGATATTGTGGGTACACATGGTGACACCCGCACATACCCCATGGCAGAGGTAGTTTGTCACAGAGGTTGTAAAAGTTAAATGCCCTGTAGTACATGTAGCTCAAACGCAAGAGCATATAAGTAAGGCCAGGTTTCTGAGTACCTTGGACCTGGTCATAAGGTATTGGCAGGTTCCCCTGACAGAGAAAGCAAAGGGAAGGACAGCGTTTTCTACTCCCAAGGGGTTATGGCAACATAAAGTACTGCCATTCAGGTTGCATAGTGCACAAGCCCCCTTTCCGCATATGAATAGGATACTTTGGCCCCACAGAGAGAATGCAGCTGCCTACCTTGGTGATGTGGCTATTCACAGGGTGGACTTGGAAGCACACCTGATGAAGGTCCAGTTAGTTGTGGATAAAGTAACGGCTGCCGGTCTGACCGCTAACACTAAGTGTTATCTAGGATTTGAGGCAGCTATTTGGGTTATCCACTTGGGTGGGGGTTCCTTAAACTACAAGGGAGCAAGGTAGCAGCCATCTACAATAGGCCACTTCCTGTAACTGAGGAGCAAGTCAGGGCTGGTACAGCCCTAGGTGACGTGAATGTTAACAGTTTGTGTTCTAAGGCCGCTCGACCCGATGGGTCTGAGCTGGGGAGGAGGATATGTGATAAAGTGAAGTTAGATAGGCCTTTTAACCCCAGGGGAAGTACGTGTAGTTTGTGTGTTGCACAACACAAAGCATTGTTTAGTTATGGGCCCCTGAGGTGGAGCATTTGGAGAGAAGGGTGGGCCAATGCTCCACTCCACAGTTTAGTGGTTTTCTGGGGAGACATAGATCCAGGCCAGGGTTTTTTGGACCGTCTCCAACCCACTGCTCAGCTGCAGTTAATGAGCTGTTGCAGTGGGAATAAACCCCTCCCTGGCAGGTAAAGGGGGGGAATTGCTGGCTTCCTCCCAGGAAGCAGGTAGGAGAGAGGCTGATCTCTCCAGATAGAGAGTCAAGAAGACTAGGCACTGGGAGTGCAGAAAGGGAGCAGTCAAGGCTGGCTTGGAGCACTGGGAGTGCAGGAGGAAGCAGTCAGGGCAAGGCTGGCTTGGAGCACTGGGAGTGCAGAAAGGAAAGCAGTTAGTTAGCTTGGAGCTCTGGGAGTGGAGAAAGAAGAGCAACAGGCTAGCTAGCAGAGTGTTGCTATCTAATAAGGTTGGTGCAATATGTTTTTGTTAGTTTAACCCTGATAGAGAGGGATATTCAAAGTGAGTCAGTGCTCAGACGAGCTAGGTTTTTGTTTAAAGGGAAACCTGTTATATTTATGTTTTCATTTGCTGCTGCCTCATATGTAAACTTACAAATAAAGTGCCTGGAATGAAGTTGCATTAAAAGACTGTGCATGTTTTTGCCCTAGAGGACCGTGCTACCTGCTGACAAGGATCACTATATATATATATATATATATATATATATATACACACACACAGACACACTACACTCTTAACATACACACTCTGGATCCCCTATACACACACTAGATTCCTTGTAAGCAAACACATACTACACCCCTAAACACACACACTTGCTATATCCCTATATCACTTGCTATATCCCCAATACACACATTCTCTACAACCCATAGCCACATATGCATCACATTACCCCACAAACACAACACGACTAAAACCGACCTTATTACACAATACCACACCACGACCAGCTCACTCTACACACACGCAATACCACAAGCAGGCTCCAAACACATCCACAATACTCTTTCCTGGCCCTTTTGTCTCCTGGTATCCATTTATAGAGACATCAGGGACAAGTTGCAAGGAAATACAGTGCAAGCATGTTATTAAATTTGCTTGCACTGTGCAGAACAAATACAGGACTTTTTTCTCATGCTAGAGCTCTTCAGCAGAGCTTTGCGCATGGTCTGCCCTGGAAGAGCATTGAACCAACATGCTCACTTTGAGAGGGGGCGTGTTTGTCATTGGTGATGATGAAACACACCCTCACTGCCCCGCCCCCTTTTTAGTGGGCCGCTGTGTTAAAAAAATGCCCGGGACAAATTTTTCTCCCAGTCCGGCCCTGCCCAATAGCATTCCCCGAGCATATTTTTCAGACTTAACAATTGGAACAATGAACTTATCAGCACATTTTATAATGTTAGAATAATGTCGCTTAGAACAGGATGTTAGAAAAAACATGTTACATTAGCATGGGTTATGATCACAAGAGGTTTAAGAACATGTCTATCTTAGTTAGATCAAGCAATATCTGCACTCGAGTGTCGGTGGTGTAAGTTTTGCCCTCCTCCCCAGGGTGGGGTGAGGGGGGATGATTGCCTTTGTGCATGGTTGACCTCTCAAGAGAGGCTTAGCCCCTAACCAAGGGGGTAGCGGGGGGAGGGGGAGGGTGTGCTTCAATGATTGGTCATGTGTGGCTAGATGTAACCGGACTAGGGCCATAGATGGCGCAGCTTCGTGAGTGTTTGGGTGTAGTATCGTGAGCCTGGTGTCTCTATGCCCAGTGGGCCCAGGCTGAAAATTGTGTCCTCTTGTTACGGGCAAATGCAAATATTACAAGTTTTAGAATGAAATGTTGTATTTCTTAAACTGTGTACTTTGTCTTTAAGAGATATTGCAAACTGACAAGGTGTTAGAAATGGAACATATTGTTTTTCATAACTGTTTCTTTAAGCAATAACCTCAGTGCACAATATGTTTGCGCCATTTTGTCCCAGACAAATTACAATAACAATAATGCATAAACAAGTTTCAAGGCTATACTACGACACTTGCAGTACACAATATACTGTGGTAACCCCAAGTTAATGGAACTTCCCCAAATCCGGGAATCTCCCACAACTGTACACTTACGACTTAGTATAAACAACAGATAACCTATTCAGACTTTAAGATGCCATCTTGAACTAAGTCAGGAAAATTTCCATGACGTATACACCCTTTAGTTATGGCCTTGTATGTCTGCCAAATTAAGGGAGGTCCTAAATTGAATAAAGTAAAAGAAGTGTTACTTTTTCATATTTGAACTACGGTAACCTAAAATGGAGACACCTAAGGTATAAATAGGTGTACTTTTAAATGTTAAGACACAGAGGAGAGACTTGGAGACAGACGCTGCTCCATCTTAAAATGACAGAGAGGCTGACATGATGACATGTTCAGAAGGGTATGTTAACCTATTAATGATATTTGCAAGCATGTAATTTAAATCTTATAAACTCTGCTATAATGGATTTTATATTTTTATATAATAAATATCCAAAAGACAATCTTGCTTCCAAGACAATCCTTATTTTATATTGTATTCTCAATTATTTATATATGTTAAATAGAGGATCTCTTACACTATATAAAATTATGGCTAAGATATCTGTATGGTTAGCCCTACTAAGTTCTATGCTTTAAGACATTATAGTGGTAAATAAGGGAACCACCAGCGGTTACACTCTAATGGGTGATTCTACCGCAAGGGACATAGACATATGGCATAAAAAAAAAAAATAGTAATACCACAAGAACAACCAGAACTTTACATCTCTACAACTTTGCAGCCTAGGGCTGCCGGATCAGTGAGTCCCTCCGTTGGGTTTGGACCGGGCTGGAGATGTCCCTGCCAGTCAGGAATCAGGTGGGCAGTCGGCTACTGTTCTTGGCACAAATGGTACCACTCTGGATGGGTCCCATCCGTGAGCGCGATTTGAGTCCGTTGGTGCTGCCGTTGCCTCTTGCATGTCTAGAGCTGCAAGGAATGCTGGGATATCAGTCCCTGTAGTTAGCCGTTGGGTCCACCCGAGACAAGGAGGGATTGTGGTGTTCCCCACCTGTAGGGCACTCCTGCTGCCCACAGTCGGGTGGTGACAGGGTTCAGGGATTTTCGCCATTGTAGTGTGGCCTTGGATAAGTCCTGGTAAAAGGACAGTTGCGAATCTTCAAAGAGCAGTGGGGTCTTATTTTTTACCGCTGCCATTATTTGCCCCTTGTCTTGAGGTAGTGCGCAGCGGCGTATGACGTCGCTGGGCGTTTTGGCGGTGGTTAAGGTAGACGTTGGTAGGCGATATAGCCCAGCGATGGTTATTTTTTTAGCGGTAGCAGGTGGCAGTACTGAAGCCAGCAGCCTTCTGACGTAGTGTGGCAGCTCCTCTTGGGGGACCGTGGCCGGGATGCCCCTTATTTTTACGTGGTTGCGGCGGTACCTGTCCTCCTGCGCTGCCACCTGTAGTGTAAGGGCCTGTTGGGCTGCTTGTAGTTGGAGTATAGATGCCTGCATGGTGGAGGTGTCTTGGCTAAGCTCTTTAATATTTGCTTCAGTTGCCTCCATTCTGCCTGTAAGTTGATGCAGAGATGATTTTAGGATAGGCAGGTCCGCAGTGAGCAGGTTTTGAGTGTCCTGCAGCATAGTGTACAGGGTTTGGAGGTCCTGTTTGGTTGCAGGTTCAGAGTTACCTGCTGATGCTGTGGGCTGTTGCTGTGAGCCCTCCGTTGTGTTCTGCAGCTGAAGTGTTGCAGGTGCGTCCGTGTGGGGAGCCTCTGGTGAGGTTGGGCCTTCCGCGGCCGCCATCTTGGCGGAGGTGTGCCGCTGGAGCATAGCTCCTATATCCCTCTGTTCTGGAGCGTTACTGGGGGTACTCTTCTGATTTCTACGCCCCATTGCTGTGTTAGCAGGTGATGTAAGGGTCGACCACCGCTCTGCTGTGTTTCCCGCGGGGTCCCCGCCCCAGAGAAACTCGAGGTCGCGGTTGGCAGGTGTGTGGTAGGCCCCGGTCCTTTAGATGCTTCGGGGAGTACTGGAAGGGCATCTGGGGATTCGGTGTGGTGTCCCCAGGCTGTAGCTGATGCTGACACAGTCGGATGGCGGTTAGTCACCAAGATATCGCCCAGATTGTGTGTGTGATCGTCGGAGCTGGGAGAGATGGCGTCCGGTCCGGTTCAGCGCCAGGCTCTGCCCTCGCAATAATGTATTTTATCTATATCCAGTGCTTAGTGAATATACCCCTAGACCAGCGGTTCCCAAAGTGTGGGTCGCAGTGGGTCGCGCTGACCCACATATCCAGGGCCGCAGGGGAATCTGGCAAGCAGACTGACACCAGGAGGGAGCCCAGCGGCTTGCCCTGTATGCCGCTGTGCTCCCTCCAACGAGTCTGCCCAGCAGCTCTGGTTTGAGCTCGGCCAGGTGCAGAGCTGTAGACCGTGTGATAGAAGTCTTGCGAGCACCCAGAGCGTTACCATGGCAACACTCTGGGAGCTTGCTGGACTTTTATTACACGGTCTGCAGCTCTGCACCTGGTGTAGCTCTAACCGGAGCATTAACCCACCCGACCACCAGGGAGACACTGGACCACCAGGGAATTCAATGAAGGTAGGACACCAGACATCCCCCTCCAACAGATGGAAATCTACCTTTTGGCCACACTTGCACTAGAGTGGGGCCCAGAAAACATATTTGCACCAGGGCACTCTCTACATTAGTTCCACCACTGGGATAATCAATGTGAGGTGCCTGGATGAAAGAGCAGGACACAGCACTTCTGATTATGAGAGTAAGCAGTTGTATGTCTATAAAACTGATTACCATGATGTACAAAGTTTCTGCCTCTAAAACTGCCATGATAACACGACCGGCGGGCCATGACGCTAACAGCTCTGAGCTAAGCCACACAACCAGCACGGGTAGGTGACGAAGCGGGAAATCGCCCTTGGGGAGGACAGCAGACATGCACCCGGTGAGCTGGGGGGTGGGTCCAGGGCCCACCTTAATTCCTACAGGCCCTGTAACACCAGCCGACACACGAGGGGCAGTACCCGTGGCACGTCTCCTCCGCTCCTGCATACCAGGGGCTCCCCCTTCACTGCCCTCTAATAATAATATTGCAGCCCATTGCACACTAGGGGGAAGGTTGACCGGCGAACAGGCCGGAGACGGCACCCGAGGGGGGTATAATGACAACACTGATACCTTTAGCTAACTCACAGGACACAACCGAAATGTTTTTATTGTTGAATCGCTTATTCCTCTATTATATGTCATGCAATATTGTCCCAGTTGGAAGATGTTTAAAATAACTATTGGATATGTTCTGTGTCTGCCACTCGCCACACAGTTGACATGGTTCAGTTCAGGCTCCCCTAGACTCAGGAGTCCTGAGCAGTTGAGTTGAGCCAGATTCGAGCGGTAGCCTCACCACCGACACCACTTAACTTGACCAGGTCACCACGACCCCGCGCAACCGACCCTACCTGTAAATTGGATCGGCCCCAGGGACTCCGCATACCTCAGACAGGTCACCTACATACTGGTACTACTTACCGATCTTGGGTCATAGTTGTCTAATCCTACCGGCCAACCCCCCTCTCCTTATGGACTATCATGGACTTACTCCCACCCCTCCCTTCCACCACCCCATCCCCCCTCCACCTCTCCCAGTCTCCCCCTTCTTCCCGTTCCCCCATCCTACCTGCACAGACTGTAACAATGCCACAGGGATTCCAACCCGAGTCATTAAGCCTCTGGTCCAATAACTCCAGAGGCCTCAACATTCCCGAAAACCGCAAACAGCTGCTGCGGACGCTGTGGTCCCATAGGTTGTCCGTAGCGTTCCTGCAGGAGACGCACTTCATGGACGGGAATGCCCCCACACTACACGACACGTGATTCTCACAAGGGTTCTTCGCTAACAACCAGGACGTCAAGCGTTCCGGAGTGGCGATACTCTTCATGCAGACAGTACCATTTCAATGCACGGCCACACAGGAGGATCCACTCGGTAGGTACCTCTTTGTGAAGGTAACCATAGCAGACCGGCCATTCACCATGGCCAATGTGTACTGCCCCAACCGCAGCCAACACATTCCTAGCCCGGACGTTGACCCTTCTCGAGAAGTTCAGGGAAGGTCTTGCAGGGGACCTAAACTTGCCCCTGGACCCGCGCATTGACTCATCATGCGGCTCCAATACCATTCCTGATCACTGCATACACAAGACCAAACAAACGTTGAACACACTAGGACTGCTGGCGGGCGGCACATCCCGATGGCAGGGACTACACCTGCTATTCAGCCACACACAACCAATACAGCAGGATTGATTACGTCTTTGTTGCACAGGAATACCTCCCCCTGCTCATATCCGCGGACATAGGGATCCAATAGGGTACTGACCAATGCACGATACTGACCACACAGCCCCTTACCAAGTACTTCGAAACCAATACCTCCCTCAAAGTGTCCCCGCTGATAACATGGGAGGCACACAAATGTGTTGTCAGGGAGCACTATATTAACTACTGCACGCAGTGCAAACGTGAGAACACCAGACGCGTCCTGGAACTGACCAAACAGATATCCGGCCTAGAAACTACACACAAAAGGGAACGGACAGACGAAGTATACCTACAACTGACTGATACATGGAGACAACTCAGGGACCTACTATCCCAGAAACTTCTAAGCGTGATCCATAGGTCCAACCGATATTTCTACAAGTTCTCCAACAAATGTGGGAAGCTGCTGGCCGGACCTTACAACAGTGGCGGAGACTAAACCACATTCACAAAATTAACACCCAGGGCCGAAAGGAAACACGACTCCCGGCCGAGATCATGCAGGCATTCAGGGACTACTACAATGGCCTATACAACCTGGCACAACCGCGAACTAGTAGACTTCATCACCAGACACATCACCTGAAAACTTATCCCAGAGAGGGTCGCGGACCTAGAACAGCCCCTGTCCATTGAGGAGCTATCCGCAGCACTCAAGCTAACTAAATCCAACAAAGTACTGGGACCAGGCGGCTTCCCTGCGAGCTATCTACGCACCTTTAAAGACATCCTGATGCCTCACCTACTGACAGGACTGAATTCTATTCTGGATGGATGACAGTTCCCTGGAGATTCGCTCAGAGCCATAGTCACGGTCCTACCGACGGCGGGGAAAGACCCGGCATGCTGTGCGAGCTTAAACTATTCACGAAGGTCATGGCCCACCACGTCTCCAGGGTGCTGCCCGAACTGGTCCATCCGCATCAGGTGGGCTTTGTGCCCGGCAGAGAGGCACGAGACACCACCATTCGGGCCCTCAACATCATCCATGCAGCCCAGAGGCGGGGAGGAGGGCTAGCCCCCCTGTCCACAGACGCGGAGAGGCCTTTGACGGAGTGGACTGTGTGGCGGAACCAGCCTTGCCACTGTGACTATGGTCCCTCTCATCAGCCCATGCTAGATTTAAACCCCATGGCGATTTGACTGTGTTTGTGGGATCTGAGCGCTGTTTGGATATATTGAGCGCTCAGATCCAAGCCATCTGGGGATAGGTTGAATGTGGGGGTTCTGTTCAGTAGGACAGGAATTATGCATTTTTGCTGTTTTTGTGAATAGAGACATTTTCTGTACCTGGTGATAGTTGGCTTACCACACCCAGTTAAGCCAATTATCTCCAGGATAGCGGACTCTGTGGAACTGGTTTTGGCTGGAAAGCCATGCTTCGGTGGTCACAAAGGACTTCAACCTAACTTTTAAACCAATGGAAGGAATTGTCTGATTTTTGAGTATGTTTGTATTTAGAGTATGCTGATTCTAAAAATGTGTATGTGATGTATACTTTTGGAGTCATGAATAATTGCGTTAGCCCATTGTGTTCAGTAATTATATCACAGGCAGAGGGGAGGATTTTGTGTGGGAGTGTCTGAGTGTATTGTATGTATTGAAATAGAAATATATACAAAGTAACAGGGCGCCACAGTCACTATATCGGTATATATGAGGGCAAGAAAAATATATATAATGACTAATATCCAAAAAATAGTAATTTATTGACACAAGATAAAAAATAACAGCACAATAATAAGTGCCAAAACAATAAATAAGCAGGAACCCATAGGTATAGCAGCTCAATGATACATAATGCTGAACTGGGCAATAAAGTGCAAAATGAAAGTGCAAATGCTCAAAGGCAAAATGCTGGTGTTAAAATTGCACCAAGTAAATGACACATATATTCAAATGGCCCAAAGTATAAATGTAAACAAACAGCATACACACAAAATAAAACCGCTAATACCACAATGCAGGGTCCCAGATAGTGCTCCCGGTGTTCCAGCGCACAGGCACTTATCTCAGAACCTACGTGTAACCTTATTTGTTATTACAGGCAAACTCTATGTGTCATTGCACAATTACAGCTAACGCAACACTGCCTTCATTTTGCTGGCCCTTGTGCCAGCTCGTAGCTTCAGGTTCCCTGCACGGCACCCTTCGGCCAGCGCTCTTTGGCGGCAGCTCATACAGCACAGGCAATGGCCATTATGCCCCGCACCCTACGCCTACGACTTTGTAGCCTTATATATTTCTATTTTGATTATTGGATTTGGAGTGTCCTATTTACAGAGGCTGGCCTGCACTTGGTTTATATCCATCGTTACTGTTCATTCACCCATCTTTCTATTTTCTTTATTGTATGTATTGATTGGTTGTACTTCAAAACCCTGTGGGCGGTACTATGTTTGTAGAATGGGCATAAAAGCAGAGTGTTTGAATAAAAGTTCAGTTCTACTTCACCCTCAATTTGGAGTACCGTCTCTTATTGTGGGAATCTGCTACAAGGGATTGCTATGCTTGTCATACTCCCTTGCTAAATCACTACTAAGCTCTTGTAAGAGCTTGTTCTTGCTTCGCTCTGAAGGAAGAGAAGTTCGGCCTGCGGTGGTTGTGGTGTCTGCTAGAGTGCTTCGAACCCTCAGGAAGCGCTAGGAGCATCCTTCAATGGAGGTACCCAGTCGGGGTGCCGGGTGATCCGTTACAGACTGGACCTACCTCATTGCCACACTACAGCACATGGGATTCGGACCAGGATATCCGCCCTCTACACAACGTCATCGGCACAAATCCGAGTCAGTGGCGCTCTCTCTGACTCGTTCCCGATGCGGAATGGCACGAGGTAGGGGTGCCCCCTCTCACTAATACCGTTCCTGGAGGCGGTCAGGACAGATGGCGGGGCATACCCTGGGGAACACAGAGCACTGAGTCGCCGATGACATGCTTTTTGTCATAGAAAGACCACTGACCTCCATCCCGAACCTCCTAGACCTCTTCCATAAGTTCGGGGGTGGAGGGGTATCGAATCTAAAACTCAAAGCAGAAAAGTCGGAAGTCATCAACATCTCTATCCCCTCAGGACTTGACGCGCAACTACGATTACAATTCAGGTTCAAAAGGTGTGACGCCAAACTGAAATACCTTGGCATCTGGCTGACCAGAGACCTTTCGCAACTCTATCAGGCAAACTTCCTCCCCATCCTTACCTCCCTGCAGACGGACATGCAAAAATGGACAGATCTTTAGATCTCCTGGTTTGGGCGTATTAACGCGATCAAGATGAATATCCTCCGGTGCCTCCTGTACCTCTTCCAAACGATACCGATCACTATCCCGAAAGCGTTCTTTCAATCCATCACTATGGCTATTTGGAAACCTGTATGGAAGCGGGGTGTGCCAAGGTTCAGCAAACAACTCAAACAACCCAAACAGCAGGGGGTGGGAAGCTGGACTCCCCTCAAACATAGGATATTACCGAGCAACCCACCAGCTGAGAGTCACCAACTGGCATGCCGGTCCAACGGAGAAACTATGGGTGCGAGCCGAGATTACACAGGCTGGAGGACAGATACCCTCGATGCTATGGAGGACGGCAGTGCCGCTCAACACGGGTAACCCCCTAATAGATGCCACCCTGAATGGTGCTCCCTCCGCTATGCGCAGCAGCTGACCACTCACACCAGCCTGCTCATGCCCCTGGTCTATAACCCGGACATACGGGGTGGACTAACGCCAGCAGACATATAGAACTTTGCACGGACTGACTGGACATACATGCACCAATGGTGCGAAATTGGCACTTTAAAAAACCCTGGCAGACCTGCTCCCTGACACCACCCCAACGGGCCTCGATCAGTTCCATTACTTCCAAATCAAGTCCTACTACTCCACCACGGTAGCCAAACACTAATTCCACCGAGACTTTACACGCTTTGAGAAGTTATGCACGACCAGGCGTCATATGGAGAGAGGAATTTCGGCGCTATACGCGATGCTACTGGAAGGTGAGAACAGGCCGCCACCGAAGTTCACCATTAGATGGGAGAGAGAAACAGGAGAGACCCAGACCACCCAGGAGTGTGACAAAATATTCCTGCTCACGCACAAAAGCTCCATTAGCTTGAAGTTCCAGGAGATGAGCTACAAATTACTGACAACCTGGTACAGGACCCTTCATATGTTACATCGTATGGATACAGGTAAAGAGGAGACGTGCTGGCGGTGCGGAGAGGAAAGAGGTACTATGATCCACGTCTGGTGGTCCTGCACGGCAATCACTCCCTTCTGGGAGATGGTACATACTAAAATCAGAGAAATTTCAGATCCAGCTCCTGCCCCTGCCCATGTTACTACACCACACAAGCATGTCGCTAAAAACCTACAAGAAGTCCCTGACAAAACATCTGACGGCAGCAAAATCCCAGATACACACACTATGGAAAAAGACAGCTGCCCCCACCTTCCCACAATGGGTAGACAGAGTGGGAGAAATACATTCCATGGAAGCCATGACTGCAGCCCTTCAGGGCCGCACAGAAAAGTGTAATCTGACGTGGACCCCCTGGCTCATGTACCTTGCGGTGGACAGACCAGCTTCCTAAAACTACATCCCAACCCTGGCCCTCTTCCTCCTCCACACCCCCTCTCCTCTCAACCGCTCTCTCTAACCCTCCCTCTCTCCCTCACTTCGCTCCACTGCCCCCCCCAGACCGAGCCGCCCCACACCCTGGACCAAACCAGAGCTTACCCCAAGTGGGTAATACCAAGCAGGTACTATACCCCTGACTGACCTGAGAACAGCCGACGAGAAGAGCTCAGGCCAATTAGGACGCTGCAATACGGATGCTTAGGATGACCAAGATACCCTGGGCTCAAGACATAACCCATTGCAGGCGACACAGATAGCTCTGCCCCACAGTACCCCAGCCCAGACTGACACGGTTGACTACTCGCCTGTGGCAGAAGCAGCCACAAGAGACTTTTGCATTGATTATTGCCTGTATTTGAACTGTATGTTATTTGAGCATAGTGGATTTTATTAGACTGGTTCTGGCCCTTTAAATGCTCTGACAAAGGATCTGCAGTTTTGCTATGCACTTCAGATGCAGAGTGTGAAGAAAAACCCTGTTTTATGGACTTAGTTTGACTGTTTTATTCCGCTCCCTCCTAGAACACCAGTTTAAAAACCCTTAATAACTGTCATATTTTCAAACGCTGTCTGTCTTTAACTGTTTGTTTTCCTCTGAGGAGGAGTTGTTTTGCTGCATGAGGGCTGTTGCTTTGTGTGCTCATTAAAACAGACCTGCTTGACCCTTTCTTGAAGCCTTGGCTCATGCTTGGGGGATGGGATAAGTCTGCAGTGCTGATGGTGTCGGTTGGAGTGCTTGGAGTCCTCGGCAAGCACTAGGAGCATCGATTTTCGGAGGTACTCGGTCAGAGTGCCAGCGGGTCCGTTACATTTTGGTGGCAGCGACGGGATTCAAACCTCACAGCAGACCGTTGTTCGGCAGTTACAGCCATTTGGGAAATTTGCTATTTCGTATGGAACCGAAAGGAAAGGGTATGTGAATATACCCGAACGGATAGTGAATGGGGACAGACTATACCAACTTGAAACGGGCCACGCTAAAAGAACTATTGGAAGCAAGGGGAATTATTGCCAGCAATAAAACCAAAGCTACCCTTATTGCTGAACTCATGGAGAGAGACCGGGCAGCTGCTGCAGCACCTCTTATGGACAGCACACAGAATGAGTTTGGAAGAGAACTCCAAAGCAGACTGGCCTTTTTCCCAGGTACGCCTCCCACAGAAACCTTGGAAAGGATTATGGCAGATGTCCACGAATACATAATGGAAAAGCAGCGGGCAGACCGGAGGTCTAGAGAGGGGTCCCTAATCACACCACACATAGTACCGGGGAAGCCTAAAATCCCGTACCATGCTTTTAAAAACAATGTGGAGACCGAAGACATCGATGGCTACTTGCATGATTTTGAGAGGTTATGCCAATTACATGAGATCAACGCCGCCGACCAGGTACCCCTGTTGGTGGGTAAGCTAGCGGGCCGGGCAGCAGAAGCCCACCGCACCATGCCAGACGATAGCAGAGACTACCAGAAAGTAAAGCAGGTGATCCTGGACAGGTATGCAATTACCCTGGAGGCATACCGGCAGCGGTTCCGAGAAAGCCGAAAGACGGAGAAAGATACTCACATGGAGTGGGCACACCGCTTAACTAGGGCGGGCAAAGGTTGGGTGCAAGCCGCACAAGCAACCACAGTGGAGGACATGCTACAATTACTGCTACTGGAGCAATTCTTCCAGGGGTTAACCCCGGATTTACAAAACTGGCTGAGGGATCGGAAACCGCGCATCTTAACTGACGCCGCCAGGTGGGCAGACGAGTACCAAGATGCCAGTAGGGCACAGCTGGCACAGGCACGGTCCATCTTGGGAGCTGCTAACCCACCTCCCACCATTAACCCCTGGGAACTACCAAACCCCTCCACGGTACAACAATGCCCGATCTTTCATCAGGTGCCACACATGTAACCAGCAGGGCCACATGCAGAGAGACTGTCCCAGAAACAGAAACCGCTCCACGTGGAATACTCCAACTAATTCCCCTGCAAACCGGGCAGCAGTACACTGCTACCAGAGTGAGCCTCGACAACCTTTCTTCGGGATCCGGTCTAATGAAGAATCTTTGGGCACCCTCCACGAGGTTAACCCAGTACAAGCAGCTGCAGACAACCGACAGGGACACCGCCAAGGGGTACACACAGAGGGAAAACGCCTTCAGGGTCTGCGTTCTGCATTCTGGGGCCACCATAATCCTGGTTCGCAATCACCTAGTCCCCAAGCACCAGCTCACTGGAGAATATGTGGCAGGGGGAGCGATTTACAAAATTCCCACTGCTAAAGTACATTTGGATTGGGGAGCGGGGTCGGGGAATGTGGAAGTGGGCCTCATGCAGGACTTACCAGCTGATGTCATCCTGGGTAACGACTTGGGGGAGCTGACCTCCGCTTTTGTTTCTCAGCACCCCGTGCAGGAAGCGCTACCCGTGGTAACACGGCAGCAGGCCCGCACCACCGCATCTTCTGAACACTCTGAGGCTCCGGTAAGTAACAGTACTGACCCACCTTTCGTCCCCTGGGCTCCCCCTTAGAATTTGGTACTGAAGTAGTCACCGACCCGTCCCTGCAGGTATACCGGGATAGGGTTACACAGAATCAGGCAGGGTTGGAGGGGGAAAGATACGCTTGGGAGAAAGGATTATTGTATAGATATGCTGAGAAGGTAGTAGCAGGATCTGTACCCATGACCCTCACACAATTAGTCGTGCCCCGAAAGTACAGGCAAGAATTACTACGTATTGCCCATGACATTCCTTTATCAGGACATCTAGGCGTCAGTAGGACGAAGCATCGTTTGACCCAAAACTTCTTTTGGCCAGGGGTCTCCGAAGATATTCGGCAGTATTGCCAAACTTACTGAGACATGGTACAATGAGAAAAATGACTGGGACATAGCAATACCAGGGTACTCTTTATATAGGAAAGATAGGGAAGGCAAGAAAGGGGGAGGGGTGGCCTTGTATGTGAAGGATAGCATAAAATCTAGCCTAATAAAAGTTAGTGAGGCAAACATAGAGTCCGTTTGGGCTACGTTAGAATTTGGTAATCACACAGTAACTCGTGTAGGTGTGATTTATAGGCCCCCAGGACAAATAGAAGAGTTAGATAATCTACTAGTTGAGGAAATAGCTAAAATGACAATGAAGGGGGAAGTTATCATCATGGGTGACTTTAATCTTCCTGATGTAAATTGAAAAACAAAATTAGCTACTTGTGCCAGGAGCACACATATTCTAAACTCCCTACTGGGATTGTCTCTAAAACAAGTTGTTGAGGAGCCAACTCGTAAAGAGGCCATACTAGATTTAGTGTTAACAAATGGAGATTTGGTATCAGATATTACTGTAGGTGAAAGTTTAGGATCCAGTGATCATCAGTCAGTGTGGTTTAATATAAGAACAGTGACTGAGTCACACCACACAAAAACAAAAGTTTTAGACTTTAGAAAAACAGACTTTTCTAAAATTAGAATATGGGTAGAGGAGTCATTATCAGGACTGGAGCAATTTCAAAATGGAGTCCAAGAAAAATGGGATTATTTAAAGCTGCTCTATTGAAGGCAACAGAAAATTGCATTAGGCTTCATTTCCTCAGTAAAAGCAAAAAATCTCAAGAAATCCACTGTGGTAATCTCAAGAGATGTACAAAATAGTTAAAACAAAAAGTTAGCATTTAGGAATTATAAAACCCAGAGTGAGGGAGACAAATGATCTATAAGATTAGGCAGAAAGAGTAGCTAAGCAAGTTATAAGAGCTCCAAATCACACACAGAAGAGAAAATAGCACAGTCTGTAAAAAAGGGGGATAAAACATTTTTTAGATACATAAATGAGAAAAGAAAAGTAAAACAAGGATTAGTTAGATTAAAAACAAAAGAAGGAAGGTATGTAGAAGAGGATAAAGGTCGGGCTGACTGCCTCAATGAATATTTTTGTTCTGTATTTACAGAAGAAAATGAAGGAAAGGGACCTCAGTTGAGAAAAAGGATAAATGAGTCATTTATTACACGTGAGTTTACAGAGGAAGAGGTTCTATTTCAACTGTCAAAAGTAAAGACAAGTAAGTCAATGGGACCTGATGGAATACACCCAAAGCTATTAAAAGAGCTTAGTGGTGTACTAGCAAAACCATTAACAGATTTATTTAACCAATCATTGTTAACAGGAGTAGTCCCAGAAGATTGGAAGTTAGCGAATGTTGTGCCCATTCACAAGAAAGGTAATAGGGAGGAGTCGGGCAACTATAGGCCAGTAAGCCTTACTTCAGTAGTGGGGAAAGTGATGGAAACCATGTTAAAGGATAGGATTGATGAACATCTAAAACACATGGATTTCAAGATCAGAGACAACATGGGTTTACTTCAGGGAGATCATGCCAAACTAATCTTATTGATTTTTTTGATTGGGTAACTAAAATTATAGATCAGGGTGGTGCAGTAGACATTGCTTACCTAGATTTCAGTAAGGCTTTTGACACTGTTGCACATAGAAGACTTATCAATAAACTGCAATCTTTAAGTTTGGATTCCAATATTGTTGAATGGGTAAGGCAGTGGCTGAGTGACAGGCAACAGAGGGTTGTAGTTAATGGAATATATTCGAAGCTTGGACTTGTCACCAGTGGGGTACCTCAGGGATCTGTACTTGACCCATTCTCTTTAATATTTTTATTAGTGATATTGCAGAAGGTCTGGATGGTAAGGTATGTCTCTTTGCTGATGATACTAAGATATGTAACAGGGTTGATGTTCCAGGAGGGATAAGCCAAATGGCAAATGATTTAGGTAAACTAGAAAAATGGTCAGAATTGTGGCAACTGACATTTAATGTGGATAAGTGCAAGATAATGCATCTTGGACGTAAAAACCCAAGGGCAGAGTACAGAATATTTGATAGAGTTCTAACCTCAACATATGAGGAAAGGGATTTAGGGGTGATTATTTCTGATGACTTAAAGGTAGGCAGACAATGTAATAGAGCAGCAGGAAATGCTAGCAGAATGCTTGGTTGTATAGGGAGAGGTATTAGCAGTAGAAAGAGGGAAGTGCTCATGCCATTATACAGAACACTGGTGAGACCTCACTTGGAGTATTGTACACAGTACTGGAGACCGTATCTTCAGAAGGATATTGATACCTTAGAGAGGGTTCAGAGAAGGGCTACTAAACTGGTTCATGGATTGCGGGATAAAACTTACCAGGAAAGGTTAAAGGATCTTAACATGTATAGCTTGGAGGAAAGACGAGACAGGGGGGATATGATAGAAACATTTAAATATATAAAGGGAATCAACACAGTAAAGGAGGAGACTATATTTAAAAGAAGAAAAACTACCACAACAAGAGGACATAGTCTTAAATTAGAGGGACAAAGGTTTAAAAATAATATCAGGAAGTATTACTTTACTGAGAGGGTAGTGGATGCATGGAATAGCCTTCCAGCTGAAGTGGTAGAGGTTAACACAGTAAAGGAGTTTAAGCATGCATGGGATAGGCATAAGGCTATCCTAACTATAAGATAAGGCTAGGGACTAATGAAAGTTTTTAGAAAATTGGGCAGACTAGATGGGCCGAATGGTTCTTATCTGCCGTCACATTCTATGTTTCTATGTTTCTATGTGACACATGCCAGAGAGTAGGGAAGAGAGGGGACCGGTACAAGGCAAAAATGCACTCCCTACACATAATAGATGAACCCTTCAGTAGAGTGGCAATAGATATAATCGGACCCCTAGCAAAACCCAGCCTGTCAGGGAAGAAGTATATACTAACCGTAGTAGACTATGCCACCCGGTACCCAGAGGCCGTAGCCATAACTAATATCCATGCGGAGACTATAGTAGATGCGCTAATCCGGATATTCTCCAGAATGGGGTTCCCCAAAGAGATTATCTCAGATCGGGGTACCCAATTCACAGCCGAAGTCACTCATCAGTTATGGAGAACATGTGGGGTGAAACCTATTGTAAACTCAGCGTATCACCCCCAGTCCAATGGGCTCTGTGAACGGTTCAACGGAACCTTAAAGCAAATGCTCTGTACCTTCATGGATACCCAGAAGGACTGGGAAAGGTTTCTTCCCCATCTGCTCTTCGCGTACCGGGAGGTACCCCAGGAGTCCACGGGGTTCTCGCCATTCGAATTACTATTCGGAAGGAGAGTGCGGGGTCCCTTAGACCTCATTAGGGAACACTGGGAGGGAACGGTCACCAGTAACGGTACCCCTATCATCCCATATGTACTAGAGTTCAGGGAACGCTTGGAGACCCTAATATAGACGGTACGGTCTAATCTCCAGGCGGCCCAGCAACGACAGCGCAGATGGTACGATAGGGGAGCCAGAGACCGCAGTTTTCAAATAGGACAAAAGGTGTAAATCTTGAAGCCAGTCCAAAATGACAAACTGCAGGCCTCCTGGCAAGGCCACTATAAGGTGGTGGAACAGGTATGTGACACCACCTATATAATTGCCCCATGTACAGGAGCAGGCGGTAGACGCATGCTCCTTGTTAACATGCTGAAACCCACGAGCGGACCGAAGAAGTAACTGCCATATGTGCCTCGGCCGCCGAGGGCCCGGATAATCTACCCCTACCAGACCTATTAGCCCAAGGGGGGGCCAACACCGAATTAGGTGAAGTACAGCTAGGAGACAGGCTGAGCACTAGAGAGCGAGCTCAAATACTAGAGCTGATCCGGGAAAAAGGGGATACATTCTCCAACCAGCCCGGGTATACCCCGCTGGCTACCCACAGGGTAGAAACCCCAGGGCAACAACCTCTTCGACAAACCGCATACCCGAATCCGTAAAAGATCATATGCGGAAGGAGATTGACGAAATGTTACAACTAGGAGTGATAGAACACTCAGCCCATGGGCCTCTCTGGTAGTGCTGGTACCGAAGCGGGACGGAACCACCCGCTTCTGCGTCGACTACCGGAAACTTAATGATAAAACTATTTCAGATGCCTATCCCATGCCCCGAATCGATGAGCTCTTAGATAAAATGGCCAGGGGCCGGTACCTCACCACAATAGACTTGTGCAAAGGGTACTGGCAGATCCCACTAGCCGAGGATGCCATCCCAAAGTCCACATTCGTCACCCCGTTTGGGCTATACCAATTCAAGGTGATGCCATTCGGGATGAAGAATGCGCCGGCTACGTTTCAGCGGATGGTGGACCGGTTACTGGACGGATCCCAGGAGTATGCTTGCGCCTATTTAGATGACATAGCAATATTTAGCAACTCCTAGGACGAGCACTTGACCCATATAGGAGCCATCCTCGACCGCATCAGGGAGGCAGGTCTCACGTTAAAACCCAGCAAGTGCCACGTAGGGATGGCCGAAGTGCAGTACTTAGGCCACAGGGTGGGCAGTGGGCAGCAAAAGCCAGAACCCGCTAAGATAGAGGCCGTAGCTAAGTGGCCAACCCCTCGCACAAAAACTCAGGTTTTAGCTTTTCTAGGGACCGCCGGGTATTACCGTAAATTTGTACCTAATTATAGTGCCCTAGCCAAGCCCCTTACTGACCTCAACAAAAAGAACTTACCCAAAGTAGTGACCAGGAGCCCAGAGTGTGAGAAGGCATTCCAAGAACTGAAAACTGCCCTAATTCATGCCCCTGTACTGGCCGCTCCCGATCCAACTAAACGCTTTCTCGTTCATACAGACGCTTCTATGTTTGGATTGGGAGCAGTGCTGAGCCAAGTTGAGGCCGATGGCGGCGAGCATCCAGTCGCTTAAGTCGGAAACTACGACCCAGGGAAGTAAGCTATGCCGCCATCGAAAAGGAATGCCTGGCGGTGGTGTGGGCCCTCAAGAAACTACAGCCCTACTTATATGGACAACAATTTGCCTTGCTCACAGATCACAGCCCGTTGGTGTGGCTAAACCGGGTGTCAGGGGACAACGCTAGACTACTGAGATGGAGCTTGGCACTACAACCATTTGATTTCACCATCCAGTATCGCCCAGGGAAACAAAATGGTAACGCCGACGGGTTGTCCAGATAGACAGAACTCGAGAAATGATCTGTGAGCACTCCTCCGGACATCCCCAAGCAGATCTGTTGGGATCAGACTGTGTATGCCAGCTTGGTTCTGGGGGAGCATTGTGGCAGAAGCAGCCGCAAGAGACTTTTGCATTGATTATTGCCTGTATTTGCACTGTATGTTATTTGAGCATAGTGGATTTTATTAGACTGGTTCTGGCCCTTTAAATGCTCTGACAAAGGATCTGCAGTTTTGCTATGCACTTCGGATGCAGAGTGTGAAGAAAAAAAACCCTGTTTTATGGACTTAGTTTGACTGTTTTATTCCCCTCCCTCCTAGAACACCAGTTTAAAAACCCTAAATAACTGTCATATTTCCAAACGCTGTCTGTCTTTAACTGTCAGTTTGTTTTCCTCTGAGGAGGAGTTGTTTTTGCTGCATGAGTGCTGTTGCTTTGTGTGCTCATTAAAACAGACCTGCTTGACCCTTTCTTGAAGCCTTGGCTCATGCTTGGGGGATGGGATAAGTCTGCAGTGCTGATGGTGTCGGTTGGAGTGCTTGAAGTCCTCGGCAAGCACTAGGAGCATCGATTGTATATACGTTTATAGTTGATTATAATTATGCCCTTTTCTGTCTTTTTTCTTATGTATTATCACTAACATGTGATGTTTCGGTCCTCACGACCAATGGACTGTATGTATTAAGCATTTGCCCACGTCCAAGATGGCTCCTCGGACATTGCAGTAACTTCTAAGCATGCTCCGAGTGATGACAGCTCAAACAGAAGACACACCCCCACAAGACATCCATTTGGTGATTGAACCACTGTCTGATTTTTTTCCTTTCGCAATATTTATTGTATATATGTTTATAGTTGATTTATTTAGGTTATGCTGTGTATAACTATAGTCTTTTTTCTTATGAACTATCACTAATATGTGATGTTTATGTATTTGGTCCTCATGACCAATGGACTGTATGCATTAGGCATTTGTCCACATCCAAGATGGCTCCTCGGACATTGCAGTAATTTCTAAGCATGCTCCGAGCGATGACAGCTAAAACAGAAGACACACCCCACCAGACATCCATTTGGTGATTGAACCACCGTTTTGATTGGCTGGCGAAGATTAACTCACCCAATTGGAGTGATGGCACCAATATTTAAACATTGTAAATTCAGGAAGCAAACTTATCCGACTGAGAGCCCCACGGCAAAACGCATCTCGGATTTGAGGAAGACCACTCTGGAGACTTTTATTTTGGTATTATACTGATTATAGCTTTTATCTATTACTTTGTTTTTTTAAATACATTTGTTATTTTTATATATACATACCTGTGAGTGGATCTTCTACTGCTTCCTGTATTTCATCAAAGAAGGGCAGTGCCTCCCTTAAAGGCACAGTGGCACATATATAGAGAGCCTAATATTATCGGCTCTATTTCAGGTGAGCACATTCATATGATTTTTTTGTGATCACTCTTACTACCATACGTATTTGCACTAGGAATTCTACCTCTTTTCTCTTCCATATATTTTGCGAGCTGCATAGTGGGAGGAGGTCTGGTATTGCCTAAATATACCCAAGCTGTTGTGATTTGAGCCAATCCTTAGGCTCTGTGCCATGTGAGTTGGACTTACTCTCCTCCATTCCATACACATTTTACAATCATGCTGCACTATGATGTGTATTTCTCTGTTCTAGATTTTATATGCTGTTAAAGTGATATATACGATATTTATATAGGGGTAAGATATTTCCCTATCTCTAGCGCTCCACAGAGTGATCTTTGTGTTGGTAGTACATCTACGAAGTTCACACTCTTTTTTCACATGACACTGGTGACTGCTTACAGATAGCGGCCCACATACTCAACCAGGATGGCGAATTAGCCATACATGCCTAACTAACCTACAAGGAGGGCCCACACTACAGGCAGCGACCGTATATTCACAAACGGTACAATACAGGTCACACCTGCCCCACTCGCCCAGTCACAGACTATGTCCCAATACGGCCATGCCCTGTTAAGCCCTGTAAATGCAGCCAACCGACTGCTCGATCCAGGCTGGGTCTCGCACCCAAATTGATCATATCCACATATCGGAGTTGAAGAGCTACAAAAGTTTGAGTACAAAGTAATGTGAGCAACACAATGTACAGACGCTCATGTGACATGAAACGTCATAGAACAAATAATGGCTTCACAACTCAATATAAGCCTACTTAATGCTGTAATCACGTAAATGTAAACCATATGCTGCAATTGTGATTTTTAGCTCTTGACAATGTTGAACTTTCTACCTTTCAACCAATCCCTATTCATGTACCCCATTGAATCTGAAAACAACAAATAAAGATTGTCAAAAAAAAAAATGCTGATTTCAGTCAAAACATTTCCCACATTTAGTGCAATTAAATTAATTTTCTCTTGTGAATAGTTAGATGCTTATTAAGGTTAGAGTGTACATTAAAGCATTTCCCACATTCATTGCATTTAAATGGTTTTTCTCCTGTGTGAATCTGCAAATGCCTCATAAGATCCTGCTTTCGGTTAAAACATTTCCCACATTCAGAGCATTTAAATGATTTTTCTCCTTTGTGAATAATTAGATGCATATTAAGGTTAGATTGTACATTAAAGCATTTCCCACATTCAAAACATTTAAATGGTTTTTCTCCATTGTGTATACTCTGGTGTCTGAGGAGATCTTGCTTTCGGATAAAACATTTCCCACATTCAGAGCATATAAATGATTTTTCGCCTTTGTGAATAATTAGATGCATATTAAGGTTAGATTGTACATTAAAGCATTTTCCACATTCAATGCATTTAAATGGTTTCTCTCCTTTGTGAATCACTTGATGCCTGATAAGATCTTGCTTTCGGTTAAAACATTTACCACATTCAGTACATATAAATGTTTTTTCTCCTTTGTGAAACCGCATATGAACGATAAGATCCTGCTTTGCATTAAAGCATTTCCCGCATTCATTACATTGAAATGGTTTTTCTCCTGTGTGAGTCCGCTGATGTCTCATAAGATCCTGTTTTCGGCTAAAACATTTGCCACATTCAGTGCACATAAATGTTTTTTCACCTGTGTGAATAAGTTGATGTGTATTAAGATTAGATTGTACATTAAAGCATTTACCGCATTCAGTACATTTAAATGGTTTTTCTCCTGTGTGAGTCCGCTGATGCCGGATGAGATCCTGCTTTCTATTAAATCCTTTCCCACATTCAGAGCATTTAAATGGATTTTCTCCTGTGTGAATAAGTGTATGTGTTTTAAGATTGGAACGATGATTGAAACATTTCCCACAGTCAATGCATTTAAATGGCTTTTCTCTAGTCTGAATCGCTTGCTGTTTAACAAGAATTGACCCCTGAGTAAAATTATTCCTGTATTCAGATGAATCAGATACAATATACTTCTCAGCATCCGTGAAATCTCCTTTTGCACAGGGAGCGGATTCATCAGTCCTACTAGGTGTATGTACTCTGTATGTTTGGTCTGAGACCGAATCAACATCTCTGATATATCCATCCTCACGTAAAGATAAGGCTTCGTTAAAATGAATTGAAGTATATCTCTCAGTATGTCTGATGGGCGTAAAACTGTTTGTGAGATTGCCTTCTTTGCATGAGGCTGGTTCCTCCTTAATATGAGTAGATGGATATTCTGTTTGTGGATGTTCTGTAGGTTTAGAAATGTCTGTGAGATTTCCTTCTTCACATGGGGCTGGTTCCTCCTTAATAAGAGTAGTTGGATATTCTGTTTGTGGATGTACTGTGGGTTTAGAAAGGTCTGTGAGATTTCCTTCTTCACATGGGGCTGGTTCCTCCTTAATACGAGTAGACGCATATTCTATCTGTAGATGTTCTGTGGGTATAGAATTGTCTGTTAAATTTTCTTCTTCACACAGCAAATATTCTTCTGACATGAATATTACAGATTTAATCCCTTTATGCTTTGTTTGGTTTATTATAGAAAATTTTCCATTATTGCTTTTACCTTTGGTTCGGATATCAGATGAAGAAATAGGAATGTATAATCCATCAGGTACAGTTTTATCTGTTAGAAGAAAATGCAAATAAAGCATTAATAAAGTACCACAAACAACACAGCTAATTTGTATAGCATTACACCCAAATAACAGCAAATAAACCTTTACTTACCCAGTGACTGGTGGTTCTCCATTATCATGCCCTTGTAGAGATCCTTGTGTCCTTCTATATACTCCCACTCTTCCATGGAGAAATAGACAGTGACATCCTCACACCTTATAGGAACCTGATACACACAGAATGATACAGTCACCATCCAAACACATCCCTTGGTTTTACTGTATGAGGTCCCAATTCCCAGCAACCTCACCTCTCCAGTCAGCAACTCAATGATCTGATTGGTCAGTTTCAGAATCTTCTGTGCATTGTTTCCTTCATGGATCAGGGAGCAAGGTGGAAGGACTGGGCTGGAGATAAATGTCCTACGAAACCCCTCTGACACATGTGGATTGCTGCTAGTTGAGTCATTATTACTGGCCTTCAAAACCATGGGACCCTTAATATTAAGAAACAGAAATGTGAACAAAAATGAAAAGCCCCCAAAGAGGCAAAACAATCTGAGAGTCTAAGCC